CTGAAGGCGGCTCTCCCAAGGAGCTCTCCTCTTATTATGCAGAAATGGGACGAGATGCTTTATGGGAAATAGTGGAGCAGGAGACACACCCCACTGGGATATGGGCTTGTCAGGAGCTGTCACAGCAGTAGCTGGACTGTGGTCTAGGAAGAGGCCCAGAGGTCCCACAGGCACTTCAGTCCTGGACAAAGCTCTCCCCCTCACCGAGGACATTGCAAGAACATGACATGAAGGATCTTATTCTCTGTTGACAGCCCTGCAGTTGAATGCTAGATATGTTCAGTCACTTATTTTCCAGAATATACACATTATTTCCTGTAGGAATAAATACTAAGAATTGCCCTTTTGAATGAGCAACATGCCAAGCTATAGCACCAGATACCTGGCTCCTTCATAACTATGCAGGCATGCATGCTCCCCAGATATGAAACCATTAAAGTTACTGATGAATTAGCATAAGCCTTTTGAGAAAGGGATGTTTTAATCAGCAAGTGTGTGCCATGCTGTGTGCTTTCATGAAAACTGAAGTGCTGTAGAAAGTTCTGGTCCTTTGCCCTCTGATACTTCCAATTCTCATTTTACCAAGGATTCAGTGTAGAGTAAAATAAACCACACATTCAAAATGTATGGGGAATAAAACCTTCTGGCAGTGGGAAGGAACACTTTATATTCTGAGGTCACAGGTGTCTTTATGAGCAAAGGAGAGAAAACATTTCAGTAAATAGTATTCATCATCTCAGGACCCTGCCCTCTACTCTGGGAGAATAATTGTTCCTTGCCCTAGGATGATTAACAGAGATATTCCAACTCTGTCTCTGCTTTCCCCACCCAGGCAGGCAGCCATTACGCTAGAATTCCTTTGTGAAACATTAAGTTATATTGCTTGACAAATAAGAAACTGGAAACAGGACACATCTGTTCCCAATCACACTGCTATGACCATTACCACTCCCGTGAAGAAAGCCGTTTCTGTTTTGGATTTCTCCGTTGAGAGGCAGGGTGCTGGGAGGGATGGGGACTTGAGCTTTTACCTATTTAAACCCAAAAGTTTTGCCTGCGTTAATCCTTATGAAAGTTTCAGTCGCAAAGAAAGCAAACTTATGAGGTGGAGAAGGAGGGAGCAGCTGCTGGCTGGTATCTGCGGCTGGGGGTTGGGGGCTGCTCAGAGGACACAGGATGCTCCTCAAACCCTCAGAGCCCCACCTTGCCCTTTTCTGGAAGTACGTTGTCCCGGGCTTGGTTTGGGCCTGAGGGTGTCGCGTTCTGCAAACTGGTTGTGCATGTGGCCCAGCACCGGGTCGTAGGGCTGAATGATAAAACTGCCTGCTCTCTGAAGGTGGTTTGCAGAATTGCCCATCAGAGCCCGTCAGCTGACTGTGCGTTCCAGGTAGTGGGAATTAATCAGGCTCAGATGAGCCTGGAGCTTGCTGCGTCTCTAGAGCGGCCTTGCTGCAGTGGCTGCTCCCTGTCTTGAAGCCCGTGGGGAGATTGTGGTTAAGTTTATATTAAAACTCGTGGCATCAGGGGCTAAGGCTAATTTATAAAGATTTGAATGTTAAGTGGATATAGCTTTTTAGGAAGCAATTTGGCGACAGCTAACAACAAACATAAAAAATGTCCATATCCTTTGACCTAGTAGTTTTACTTATAAGAATTTATTCTGAGAAAATACATTTACATTCCATGACATATTCATTCTAGTGTTGCTCACAATTACAAAAAACTGAAACAACTCAGTGGTCTAACAATAACTGGAGGTTGGTTAAATACATTATAAATTTATCTGATGGGATGCTTTATAGTCTAAGACCTGGGAAACTCAGCATAGAGTTTTAAAAAACTGTATTAAAAATAATACATACAGTGTAATTGTGATTTTTGTAAGGAAATGATACATGTGCATTTAAAAAGAGTAACATACAGATTTCTGAGTGATGAGATTATGGGTGATTTTATGCTTTTCTGCATATTCCATTTTTCTATAATGAACATATATACCATTTGTATTCAGTTTTAAATGTTATTTAGAAATCGTTCCACTCATATGCTGGCTTTAAGTCAGTACCCCTAACACAGCGTCTAGACTTTCTGGGGCTAGTGCCGATCTTCCAGAGTTGGCATTAGTCACAGGAAAGCTGGGGAACTGGGAAAGGAGCGTGTGTGGTTGGGAGGGGACAAGTGGTGTCGCGTTCTGCAAACTGGTTGTGCATGTGGCCCAGCACCGGGTCGTAGGGCTGAATGATAAAACTGCCTGCTCTCTGAAGGTGGTTTGCAGAATTGCCCATCAGAGCCCGTCAGCTGACTGTGCGTTCCAGGTAGTGGGAATTAATCAGGCTCAGATGAGCCTGGAGCTTGCTGCGTCTCTAGAGCGGCCTTGCTGCAGTGGCTGCTCCCTGTCTTGAAGCCCGTGGGGAGATTGTGGTTAAGTTTATATTAAAACTCGTGGCATCAGGGGCTAAGGCTAATTTATAAAGATTTGAATGTTAAGTGGATATAGCTTTTTAGGAAGCAATTTGGCGACAGCTAACAACAAACATAAAAAATGTCCATATCCTTTGACCTAGTAGTTTTACTTATAAGAATTTATTCTGAGAAAATACATTTACATTCCATGACATATTCATTCTAGTGTTGCTCACAATTACAAAAAACTGAAACAACTCAGTGGTCTAACAATAACTGGAGGTTGGTTAAATACATTATAAATTTATCTGATGGGATGCTTTATAGTCTAAGACCTGGGAAACTCAGCATAGAGTTTTAAAAAACTGTATTAAAAATAATACATACAGTGTAATTGTGATTTTTGTAAGGAAATGATACATGTGCATTTAAAAAGAGTAACATACAGATTTCTGAGTGATGAGATTATGGGTGATTTTATGCTTTTCTGCATATTCCATTTTTCTATAATGAACATATATACCATTTGTATTCAGTTTTAAATGTTATTTAGAAATCGTTCCACTCATATGCTGGCTTTAAGTCAGTACCCCTAACACAGCGTCTAGACTTTCTGGGGCTAGTGCCGATCTTCCAGAGTTGGCATTAGTCACAGGAAAGCTGGGGAACTGGGAAAGGAGCGTGTGTGGTTGGGAGGGGACAAGGTGGGGTTTGGGGGTTTTGCAGGGCAGCCTGCAGGGTAAGTAGGGGCAGAAGGGAGCTGAGTCAGCATTCTCTGTGGGGAAGTGAGGTGTCTTCCTCCTGTCTGGGAGGAAGTGGGTATTAGTGTGTTCTGCCCCCGGCCACTACCTTTAATGGGGTTGTGAGTGTGGCAAAAACTCAACAGACCTGTACACTGTGGAATGAGGCGAGAAGTGCCCTGAGGGATGCAGCAGGAGGCAGCCCAGGATGGCACACAATTTGAGGCCTAGGCACCTGGTGCCTCAAGTGTCTGTGACCTAGGGAGATGTGTTGGTTTTCTGACAATCCAGGCCTCACTGCCCGGGACCAAAATGAAACCAACTGTTGTGACCTGGTCCAGTCAGTAGTCCTGACCAGTGGTCCTACTGTCCCTACTCAGCCCTTCACCCTGAGGTCAGCCAAGTCTGTGAGAGACTCTGAGCCAGGAAGAAGAGAACAGCAGTAATATTGGTACAGCACTTTACAGTTTACAAATAATCTCCAGTTGAGGAGCTGCAAACATTCCTTTCGAGAACACACTTCTACAGTCTAAGAAGAGCCATGCTGAGGGCTTTCTGTTTCAACTGTACTTCCTGTAATGACCCTGTGATTCTTGTAAACTTGTGATTTGTCACGAGTCTTAGAATATTCCAGAAGTTGGAGAGACAAAACATTACATCCCCTATTGCACAAGCCTTCTCAGAGAGTCACAGGAGATATTGCTGGGATTATATTCAGCAAAGGCAGATGGGTAGCTGTTCTTCAAGCTGCTAGTGGAGGGAAAGCCAGTGGTGTTAGTGAAGAATTAATTGCCCCTTATAATGAATCTAGGAAGTGCTAACAAATAATCAACACTAATGAATAACTTCGTAGATTCAGTTAGGTTGACACCAGGGACCTAGAAGAGAGAATCAACCACTGAGTACAGATTTGCCAAAGACAGATACAATGGATGCTCTTCATGCAGACTCAGTGTCTGAGTGGTAATCACCTTGTGGAGTTTTCATTTGAAAATTCATGTTTTCAGAGCTCATGACTTAAGGTCACACAATTCAACCTGGAACCCAGCATGGAATCCCTAAAGCCCACCAGTCAGCCTCTGTTGAATCCTCCCTGTGATGGGGACCTGTTAACTCTTAGGAGAACATTCCATGTCTGCAGAGTTATGGCTGTGAGAAAGCCCACAGGACTGCAGTGCAGGGGGCATAAGAGAGCACGGAGTTAAGGGAAGATGGAGGGCATGTAGCTGTACGGGAACAATATAGCATTAATATACCCAAACTTTAGAATTATTTGTTAGTTTTCTTCTGATGAACAAACACTATGCAGGAGGCCCAGAAATGCTCACATGGTCTTTGATGGGGAGAGTGGTGCTAGGTAACAACACTGGTCGGGTCCGTGGTTGATTATTTTGTAGATAAAACTAGAAGCGATTCCTCTTTCCCACTGACTTCTGTTAATCTGCCAAGCAAAACTTTAATTACAGTGTATAGCCATCTCAGCTCCCCTACTAGATAGTTTCTGCCCTCAGTGAATTGATAATCATAATTTAGACCTGCTTGGCAGCAGACTGAACACGGGAAACCGAGTGAAATTATCGGTTCATGAATTCAATTTGTTATTTACTATTTTATGAATATTATGTATCTCCCCAATTGGACTGCATATTCCTTCAGGGCAGGCATTACTTCCTTTTATACCTGACTGTAGGTCCCACACCGAGCACGCACAGCACCTCACCAGTGTGGGCTCAGGAACTCTTTGCAATAAGTGGAGTTGTACGTAGAGCGCTGATCAGGTGCTGAACAATCAGTATGATTAATAATGACCATAGGTTTTAGGCTGATTTAAAGAGTATGCTGCATTTATTTAACCCCATAAATTAAAATCCCTTAACACATGTAAAATTTGCATGTTTTTAAAGTGCTGTAAAAGGTATTTATTTTTTTCAACAAGTGGAAAATAATGTTCTTTAAAAGATACATTTTAGTGGCAAATGGTATCACCAAAAGCATAAAATAATTTGTTCTTCATCTTCAAGAAATGGGATTTTCATATAAAATACATATGGAGCACTGAATATGCCAAAATGACGGGTATATGTGGTTAGGATTCAAAACCAGATTTGCTATGAAACCATCTGGATGGTGTGTTAAGTCAAGAACGACCTTGAGTGGCGAGAGGAGGCTGTGCTGGGTCATCAGTGCTTTCGAAGGTGAATTTCCTCACTGTGTAATGGGTTTGAGTCAGTGGCTAGGGCAGCCATTCAGACTGACAGTCCCCTGTACTTCCATGGCATCAGAGACAGGGACAGGAATGTGGTTGACTTGAATATTTTTCAGGCAGCCAAAAAATGATTTCCACACAGGGAGCTTCAGGGTCTTCAAATTAGCTAAAACAGAAAAGAAGAGGCATTGAATGGGTACTACACACAGTCAAGTAAATGCACCCCATTTAAAAACTAGTCTTATTAGAGCTAAGATGAGCCAGGGTCTCAGGCTGCCCAATTATCTCCTCCGCTAGGTAGGCACCCCGCACACCAGCTGCTGAGGTAAGCCAGCAACAAGGCTACTCTTCAAATTCTTCAAAGAAGGAGATTCCACAGCCCAGATCAAAGATAACAGCTCTGAACTCTAGGGTTTTTAATGGGTCCTCGAAGACCTATACAATTAATAATCAGACTATTTGGAGGGACAAAAAAACAAGAATGACAAGGCTCTTTCCAGGCAAAATTCCAGTCTTGAACTTGACTCCATCTCAACCTGCCTGATTCTTCCATTCTGGCCCCACAAAGCTTCATAACTTGCCAGAAAAATTAAATGCCTGGAGAGGAGAGACCAGTTTTTCAGCTCCTTTCCTGAGTCTTTGCTGATATCAGGCTTCTAGGTTAATGCAGCCATATATATATATATAGTTTATAAATTATAGACTTGGGACAAGAAGCAGTAGCATAATGTGACCTGGGCTGCTATGAATTGTGCCCATCGCTGGTGGCTGGGTTTCCCCCCATGTGCAGGTACAAAAGGCCTCAAACAGCTTCAATGTCTCTACCATCAGTCAATGGCTGCCCAGCTGGTAACCCATGGGCTGGGGCATTGCACTTGTTGGGTTAAATGGAAAAGTTAAGTGCTGACATGGGGCAATGTGGGTGTAGAAGTCAGGACAAGAGTTACCTGGGACACCTCCAATGTGTAGCGGCTCCCGCGTGCTGGCAGGCAGGAAGGGGCGTCGTCCAGCTGAGTAGCTGTTGTCTGCATCCAGTTCCAGGTGCAGGATGCGTTGTTTTATGGTGACTGGAGGGAAAGGAAGCTGTTCAGTCTATCCCCTGTGGAGAGCCCTGCCCACTGCTTAATGTCTACACTAGTGTGCCACCACGGGCTTCTTTTAACTCACTGCTGTCAGACCTGTAGGAGCACTGTTCACAGGAATTCAGTCAACTTAGACAGAAATTCAACTGATTTCTCAAGACGATGAGGTGTTTAGGTGCTTCCACACATTCCAAAATTTAATCCTTACAGTGTTCTGTCAGGAAGATACTATCACTCCCATTTCTCAGGTAAGAGAGTCACTGTGGCCCTCATTGAGGGACTTGATGTCAGGTTACCCGTCCAGTGAGTTGGGATTCAAACCCTGGGCTCCTGTCTCCAGTGGTCACTTCACATGATCTCAGCTTCTTTCTAAGAAGACACTGACTACTGAAAACTGACTTCAAAGATGGACACTTTTGAAACTCCAAATAAAATTCTTCCCATGTTAACAATCATTAACTCATTGCAATGTAGTTTTCAAATAGCCAAGAAAAGACTCCTTTTTTTTACAATAGATATTTTAGATAATGTAGGTTAATATATCTCCAAACTAATATCCACAAATTATTCTCAAAATAGCAGATTCTATTTGAGAAGCTTTGCCTGTTCTCCTACCCAGTGGTTTGTCTAAATTGTTTGCATTTATATTAAATCACTGTTGGTAAAAAAAAAAAACACACCCAACAATGAACTTTAACAACAGTACAAGCAAATACTTACTGAGCACTTACTACATATTAGACACTGCTAAGCCCTTTACATGCATTACCCTGTTTACTTTTTACAATCCTGGGACGTGCACACTATTTTTATCTCCATTGTACAGATGAGGGAACTGAAGTTATAGAGCAATTAAGTAGCTTGTCCAAGATCACACAGATTAGGGCTGGAACTGAGATTTGACCTCTGTTCTTTTTGACTTCAGAGCAAAAATTTTAATCACAATGTTATACTGCCTTAAAAACAAATATAGCTTATCGGTTTGCTGGGCTCAAAAAAATAAAATAATCTTAGTATGTCATGGTGGACTGGAGACAGCAGCTATGAATTACATAAATATAGCTGGGATTGAGAATGGGGATGTTTTCATGTTAACCTGGTGGGCCCATGGATCAGGCACTAAAGGGTCAGAGCTTTGGAGATTCAAGTCCAGATGGAAAGCGAGACTGTTTCAATGTATGAACAATAGGTTAGTAGACATCATACCTGTCACCGAATGCCACTGTCCATCACACAGAGACCGTTTTGGTGTGACCGATGTCAAGATCTCACCTGCCTCACTGTCCACAGAGGCTGTGACCTGGAACACACATGCACTTTCCTATTTCATCGAAAGTGCAGGTGGAGCCAACTTCCCCTGCCATCTTCCCTTCCCCACTCTTGCTACCTTGACAGGCCAGCAGCACTGTAGAGGCAGGTCCCTGCTCCCACTAGCCGATCATACAGGGAAGGCATGTGGGTGGAGGGGGGGCAGGCAAAGCAGCTCCAAACCCAGGGCCCTGTCAGAAGCTGCTGCCTAGCAAGGATGCCTTCCCTGCCAATCTGAACCCAGCCCGCCCTGCCCTACTCAAAGGTTGCTCATTAGCATCCAAGACCCTTTTTCCTATTAATATGTGATGGTGGCTCTGCAGAAGAAGACATGTCAAACTTGAAAGGCAAAAATGTTGGCTGAAGTCAACACCCTGCTGCAAGGGCCAGCCAATTATAATAATTCCATGAATACTTGACTTACAGAGGGTTCTTGTTCAAGGAACTCAACAAGCTAAGTGACTGTGTTTGTACTGGGTACATGTCAGGGTCAGACACTCAACACGCTCTTGTGGAGAATCCCGAATTCTTGGGCCAGGATTCTCCAAGGGCTGAATCAAGGTGAGTGAAATGAGAGGATGAAAATAAGCACACTGATAAATAATTTATATTTAATTTGCACAGCTACACAGTATAGCCTCTTTTCAGGCAATTTGTGAGCTAAACCATGTCACTGCTGTCACGAAGGTCATCAGGTCTCGATTTTGTTGTCTGGGATTATTTCCTATTCAGAAGCTCTCACAGGAGACTCTTACCTCTCCCTTGAAAAGCCAGCCTTGTTTCAGCTGCCAACAGGCAGAGAGCTGCTTGGCTTACCAGCGGCCTGCTCAGACTTACAGGCTGCAACTTAAATGAAGAGTGTTCTAGGAGCTTTGACCATTTTTATTTCCTTCTGGGAGTTTCCCCCTCATATTTAAGAAACTGTGGAAGGATGGAAGGGGAAGAAAATGGCCTATCATCAGTCTTTGTCTTGAGGACTTAGCTAAGAGAGGCTTCCTAAGAAAATGTGGTTTTAAAGAGATTTTTTGAAAAGGAGATATGACTGTGTTGTGAAAATAAGATGTTGGCCAGGTCTAAGGGCGACAGGAAGAGTACAGCCACAGAACCAAATGCTGACGGAGCCCATGCAAAGCCAAAGGAAGCTGCGGGGAGACCCAGGGCCAGTGTGGCTGCACAGACCAGAAAGGCTGCAGAGCTGTGTAGAGAGGATAAGGCGTGTGGTTCAGTGGCCGCAGGGCTGTGGGTGTGCCACAGTGTAGACGGCTGGTGAGGAAATCTATTCCATGCACTGTGGTACTGCCCTCAGGAGTAGAAGTAGAGATAGGACGAGAGTGAAGGGGAGGAGAGAAAATGAAATTGTATTGCATATATATGGCAGTTTCTCTTCTGGACAAAAGCTCTGAATTATAAGCATTATTATCCACATCTTAAGGAAATTGAGTTTCAAAGAGGTTAAGTAACTTCCCTAGGGCATATAACTAAGTGGTACAGCTTGAATTCAGCCCAGCTTGTCTGAATTTTCCCAGTTTTAAAGATGAAGAACGGAAAACACGCTGAGCAGACTACTTGCTAAAGGAAAGTGTTCAGTCAGCTCTGAAGCCAGGGCTCTTGCATGAATTGCCGTTGGGTTCCTCTCTCTACCAGGACTTCACTATGAAGGTCTCCAGAGATGTAATGTGGTTCTAATGCAAACCCATCTGTTCCCAGATTGTGGGACTACTACGCACCTTTCCTGCCTCCATATAAACACATAAGTGCTTCCTGGGTTGACTTCCTATGTGTATTAGCATTCCGGTGAGACTCCTTGGGCGAATGCTGAAAACAAGCTTAAATTCTGGCCCCAACAACACAGAGTTCGCTTTCAAAGGAAAAAAAAAAAAACAAAAAAACAGTTAAAGCACCATAATCCAAGGAAAAAGATGGAGTTCTTCAGAGTTAGGGACACAAACTCCTCCAGACTGCTCCTTACCTAGGACAACATGACCTCCTTCTTGAGGAAAATAAATGCCTTTCTCCAAAGAGCCACCCAAACAGGGAGACACCCTGAAGCTTGCAGAAGGGGTTTGCAGGGGTCTCAAATCCAACTGGAAGTTCCTCAGGCACCCCACAAAGCTGTTTTGGGGGAGGCTCTGTAACCAAGAAGAGGAGAAAGCAAACTTTGTCACCCACAACTCCCAGAAACACATGGGCAGCCAAGGTGAAAGGCAAGAGGAGAAGCATCCCTCCTGCTTCAAAAAGTCACGTGGGCCTGACTGTCCCATTTGGCTCCCTGGCCACACTGCCAAGAAAAGCCAAATACTAGATGTCCAGTGGGAGGTCGAAGCATGCGGGTGCCCCCCAACCCAGTGGTGTGCATGCAGACGGCAGGGCTGGGGGTTTGCTGGTTAGCACTGGAGCAGAAGGGGAACCTGAGCCTGGTCCGCACAGACAGAGCTGCAACGGGAAACTTCCACCTTACAGCTCACAGGTCTCTCCATCTCTTTGCAAGTGCAGACCACTTCTGAGGGGTTCAGGAGCCCATGTGACTGCTAATGCACAGCAGCTGACTGAAGAAAGAGGCCAAAACAGTCCCAAAATAACAAGGTGTAAAAATGCTCCCTATGTTCTGGTTGGGTTCAGTACACTATCACCAAGGCACGAATGCCGTGGAGTTAAAAAAAAAAAAATTGAGTACACAGCATCAGCAGGCCTCCTGAAGCTGGCCTGGAAGAGGGGCTCCTCACCAGGGACCCAGGGATGTGAATCTGGGGTTCTGTGATCTCTTAAATTATATGCCAGGTGCTCTCTGTATGTGTGTTCTCCTGAGGAGAGGGGCTGTAATTTTCAAGACAGTTAAAGAACCAATGAATAAAATCCCCAAATTCCCTTCTAGAATAAGTGTTTTAGAGCCCAGGACTCCTAGAGAACAGATGCAAAAGATGATGATTTTAAGAGAATATGGTGATTTTAGAGATGCACGTGGTATCAGTATCAACGATAAACTCCCAGCTCCTCATGAACTTTTTAGTATCTTAAGATTTGCCATGTTCCACAGTGAAAAACCTGTGTCTGCAACCAAGCTCAGAATCCCTCAGACAGGCCAGAACCTCAGCCTGGCTCCCCACAGGCCCACTGCGGGCTTGGGCATCTGGAGGCAGACTGTGCGAGCAGTTGCTGCCTGGCCTCCCATCCAAACGTCTGACCCTCAGGTTGAAACAAGGCTGCAGAAAGAACCTTGTTTAGTAAGACTGTCGTAAATAGGGTGCCATGGATTGTCCCAGATATTAGCATGCAGAGTGTGATTTATCCAGGTCAAAAGAATAACCAATGTATACCCTTCAATAGCTACCCCACCCTGTGATTTCTCTGAGAGGGAAATAAGTGCAGAGGCTACAGAAAAACAAATACTGACATTGAGGATCCTCCTTAGCAATTGGTATGCTACATGTATGTATTATATAATATATCACATATAAGATATAACATTGTATTATTATATATAGAGAGAGTTCATGGCCTGAGCTGTGGACAGGACTGTCTTACTTCACTCTGTAAAAGAAAAAGGCAAATTTGGGAGAAGAGACAGGTGGACACAGTCATCTCAAGTCACTTGGGTGCTAGTATTGCTACATGAGCAGAGAAGAGAATCACTATAATTATAGTGATTATATATCAAAAAATTTTAAATATTGAAATGTAATGGACATAGCACATTATATTAATTTCAGGCACACACAGCTCAGCCTTGGGGCCACGGCCCCACTGGAGCCTTTGAGCTTGACAAATCCAGGTATGCACCCCTCCTCCTTGGGGACAAATAGACGAGTGACTTTCCCTTTGCCCAAAGTTTCTCCAAATTTGGTTCTTGAGAAAATGTTGTTTCAGACACTGAGTAACATTAAAACACATTCTGTTATTAAGTTGGTCCTTCTACAATTTGCTTTCTAACCTTCTGATTAGGGCAGGGGACAAATTCTTGTTTTGTTCTAGTATGTCTTTCATGCCTCTTATAATTACATAAGATATAACTGATCACTTGCCAAGCCCCTTTTTCTCCTAATGAAGGGAGTAGAAGCCATACTAGGCTTTAAAAACACTATTTTGTTTTCACATTATTTATTTTTATGGTTATTTTCTCTATATGGTAAAGGATACTGAGTCTTCATTTATAAGAGAGAGAGAAAAACATCCTTTAAAAGTAATTAAGAAGTGAATTGGTGAAGAGCAAACTATTAAGTAAATGTTTTGCTGGGATATGGCAAAGCTGGAAAGATGGCACAAATCACTCAAATTTAGAAAACATTATCTTAATCACAAATCTTCTTCAATAACCTAAAATCTATGTTTTGCATTCCACGGAGAAGCCAAGGTTCACTCCTGCAGGGCCCACATCTCAAGCTCCACCGTAAAAATAAAGGCCTGGACACGGGGAATGGGAACGGACCCCTTCTCTGTGGGCTTTGGGCATTAATTAAATATTTTGAAGCATCACTTAAAGTATTTAGAGATTCTTGAATATCTTTTATAATTATAGTGATTATATATCAAAAATTTTTTAAATATTGAAATGTAATTGACATAGCACATTATATTAATTTCAGGTCTACAACATAGTGATTCGATATTTGTATATATCGTAAAATGATCACCACCAACATCTGGTTAACACCCTTCCCCTCACATAGTATGTAACTATATGGAATTTTTTTTTCTTGTGACGGCAACTTTTCAGATAGACTCTCTTAGCAACTTTCAAATATGCAATATGGTATTATTAACTCTAGTCACCATGCTATTTATTACATCCCCAGGACTTATTATTTTACAACTGGAAATTTGTTCCTTTGACGCCTCAATGATTCTATCATAGGTGAATTTCTTTTAGGTAATGCTCTGAAACATAACTCACCTTGGGTTTCCCCAGTGGAGGTGATCCCAGGTAAACCAGAGCCCGGAGGCTCACCCTGGAATTTCCAGGCCAGCTTGCCTCCTGTGCCCTCAGACCATCCACAACCAACCGCCTCTTTTCTCCATCTTGCCCAAACACCACCTTAAGAGTAAAGAAAATAAGTTAATCATACTTCTACTTTTGACAATTTTTTATTAGTGGTCATAGGACATTTAAAAAAAAAACATTTTTCTGTCCCCTCAAATATCTTAAAAAAATCAGAGGCTTTTCTCCCAAGTATTACCATCATCATCAACATTTTGTGAGATTATGTTAGATATGGACTAGAGTGAGCTAAAAAAGTAAGCTGAAAAACAGTTGCTCAAAAGTGAATAAAAAGATGTAGTCGGTCTGGAAACTTACACAAAGGATAAAGAACTGAAGCGCCAAAGGAACCTAAGCACACACTCATGCGACAAAGGGACCAGAGCAGCTGCGTGCAGCCATGGAGTGCTGGGCTGGGGGGATCACACCCTCCCTTCCTGGAGCAGGTGGCCAGGGGCTACATCTCTTCTAACAAGGGAGCTACAAGTCAGGAACTTTTCTTTGCTAAAAGTCAGGAGCTATGGGCTCTAGTGTGGACTCTGCCATCTCATGGCTATGAGGCTATTCACTAATGACTCCCTTTATACACCTGTGACTTCTGGCCTCCACGGCTACTGATAGGTGGGATGAATGTCTGATAGGCAACTCAACCCTAGGATATCCACACGGAAGTCTTACTCTTCCTCAGCTATAAACAGCTCCCTCCTGGCTGCATCCACCTCCTCTGCTGCTCTGCTTCTCAGTAAAAGCCCCACCAGGGACCCCGTTGCTGGGCCCAGATCATAGGACTCGCAGATTCCTTCTCTCACACTCCCCCTGCGGTCCATCAGCAAGCCCTCTTCACTCTGCTTTCAGCACACATTCTGGACAGTCTGCACCCCTCCACCTCCATCACGGCTTCTAGAAGCAAAGGCACGGGCTCCATCCGGCCTTCCTACTTCTACTCTTAACCCCTTTTAGTCTCTTCAATTGAACAGTTTTGAAAATATAAATCTGCCCATATAATGCTCCTTTTTTAGTTTAAGATTCTCCAATGCTTAGACTAGACTCCAAAGTCCTCATTTTGGCTTTCAAAGCTTAAATGCTCTGGGACCTGTCTCTCTCTTGAATCCCATTTCTTACCCTTTCTGTTCTGTCCACTCAGCTCATGCCTGCCTCAGGGGCTTTGTGCTTGCTGTTCCCTCTGCCTGGAACACCCTTTCTATAACTTCAGATGACTGTCTCCTCCTGGGAGAGGCCATCCTTCCCCACCCTATCTAGGAATTTCTTGCTAGGCCACCCCCTTACTTGCTTTAGTGTTTTCCCAAAGCACTTACCAGTATCTGACACTATAGTGGGGATTTTTGTTTATGTGCTCCAGGATGGCAGCACATTAAATATTTGTTGAATGACTAAATGAGTACAACTTGTCAAGTCACTTATGTTTTCTGAGTTTTGGTTCCCTCATCAGGAAAAAAAAAAAAAGGAAAAAAGGTCGCTTCTTGCCTTAAGCTGTATTTCTTTAGGTCTCGGATGCCTTTAGGCCAGAGCTGGGATGCTAGGATTGTGGCTCTTTAAGTTTGTGCTATGCAGAACACACTCCAGGCTCAGAGAGGGGCCTGGACACCTGAAAATTGTCCTGAAGAACAGAAACGGTCCCAGGCAGGAGCCAGCAAGGGGAGGCAGCCCAGAGAGCGTGGAGGGAGCTGAAGCAGCAGCGAGGGAAGCCCACCCAGGCATTTGGGATGCTACCCAGGCATGGCGTGTACAGCCATCTCTGGTGCTGGGCTGCTGGGGGCTCAGGGCCTCTAGCCACACGAGCTCACCCAGGTTGCGCCTTCCTGCCTGGAAGAAGCTGGGCCTGTTGTCTTTGCTACTCGCCAGTGAGTTGTGCACCAAAGGAGGCTCCGAGGAGTCCGGCTCTTACCGTGTGCCACTTCCCGTCACTGCACTTCTCTTTGCTTTTGAGCCTCAGCTTTTTCCCTTCTGCCCGCAAAGCAAAGACCAGACGCCCCTTCGAAAGATAAAGAGCCATAAAGGCGTTCTTGGTGCCCGTGTAAAACACGAGCCCTCGGGAGGATGTTGTCTGTATGTCCACAGCAAACTGTGACCTGTGGCAGAAAATTGGCAAAGAAGGAAAATAAAGCTTTTTAGGATTTTTTCTGAATCTCTGAAGCTCGGAGAGGGGGTAAGAGGCAGAAACTCAAACCTCCATTATTCAAAGGAATAAACTAAGGCATGCACTGAGTAAGTGACCTGTCTCTTTGGGAAATTTAAAAAGTCTTTATTACTTTAGCCTCCAAAATTTTCTTATATAGTTTTCTTACTGTCTTGGGGAATAATGAGGAAGTTCTATGGCAAACCTAGCTAAGGGTATAAGCCCAGTACATGGTAAGAAAGAAGATGCCTTACTTAAAAAAAAAATCTACATTTAAAAAATTTTTGGTTAAATATTCATAACAAAATTGACCATTTTAAACATTTTAGAGCATATGGGTCAGTGGTACATTAACACTTCATGCAGCCAATCTTCAGAACTCTTGTCATTTTTAAGACCAAAACTCTGTACCCATTAAACAACAGCTCCCCATTCCCCCCTGGCAGCCACCACTCCATTTTCTGTCTCTATGAATTTGACGACTCTAGGTCCCCCATGTCACTGGAATCATACAGTATTTGTCCTTTGGTGGCTGGCTGCTGTTTAGCAGCCTGCACCTTTTAAACCTCATAAATATACATTCTATTTGGTATACATGCAAGGAAAGGGAAGTTGTGAGGAGGAGGGGACAATTTCAATAACAAGGATTTGATTTAAGCATTGGGAAAGGATTTTCTTTCTCTAAGACATATTCAACACGGAGGCATGGATCTGCCTTCTCCCACCCATCTTTATGTTTCTTGGACCTTAACACTTCAGCTTTGATGGAATGGGAATTAAGCAAGCATTGTGCAGTAAAAGAAGAGAATAAAAGTTAATATCCCTTTGCATGATGGTTACATATCATATGAGCATCTGGCTAAGGAAGTTTTACTTTTTATGAAAACTCACATCCAGCCATCCACCCATTTATTAATTCATTCAACAAATATGCAATGAATGTGGAGTGTGTAGGAGGTGCTGTGGCCAGCACTGGGGGTGAGCAGACGGACCTCCCATACCTTGAGTTGTTTACAGAACACTGAGCACGGGGAGGAGGATCAAAGCACCCGTGACAAGGGGTAGGAGACACACAGGTCAGCAGGCTGTCATCACCCCTTCCTGCACTTTCTGGCTTCATCCTTCACAACCACATCCCACATCCCTACAGGCAGAAGGCAGGAACCGGATCTATCCTGCTTAGAGCTTAAAGTAACCCCAGTGCCTAGGACAAAAAATAGTTACTGAACTGAATTAAATGGTAAATCATGGAAACGTTGGAAGCTGACTTGGGAAGTGGAAAAGAAAGTACACAGTTACATCTCTTTGCTTTTTAATACTGTGAGGCTGAGCAAACACTGAGATGCACTCTACTTCTTTACATTAGCAAGTTTCCTTGAGGGTAACAGTCTTCATGATGAACAGTAATCCTTACTTCTTAAATCAAACCAACCAGATGGTGACACTGCTCAGTATTTCTCTTGGTGTATCTGTGTGTCAGTGCTGGGTTGGAGAGTGAGGGTTAGCCAATTTAAGGAGGATATTAGAACCTGCTACAGAATTAAAGTACTTTACATATGTGAGCTTGGTTAACAGACTTGACATTTGCTTTCCAGAATTATTTCTTAAAGCAGCTTTCTTGAGGAAAAGACTAAACTCCCAAAAAAGACAGTTATGAATTCAAATCCCAGCATATAATACTGTGGCTACAACTCTTCCTGGCTGGAGGACATGAAGGTAAGGCTAAGAGAGAGCCAAGTAGTTGTATACATCCACCAAAAGGTTACAATCGCAGTACAGTGTTTTAAAGGAGAGACAAAAAATTACTAAACATAAATTAGAATGAGAATTAGAGAGTAGTCCAAATCTTGCAGCATCCTGAAAATATACTCTAACTGCTACAGTATTTGGGACTAAAGTAAGGTAAAAGTCATATTTACTAATGATTATTTTTCTTCCTTTCCCTTTAGAAATGTTCCTTTTTTCCTTTATTACATATCTCCTTGCTGGATGGGAAGGTGCTGGGGTTGGCTCATCAGAAATGGCCTAGTAACTCACCACTGTGAAGGTGCTGAGAGAAGGTATGGGAGAGAAAGGGGCTTGGGAGGGAGAGGACCGGAGGGTGGAGAGGCCACAGGGCAGAGGCGGGAGGGAGGGGAAGCGGGGAGAGGGCAAGTCCCCAGGCACATTTTTCGCAAAGCAGGGATCCTGAGCCTTTCCACAAGCAGAGCTGCTGGCGCAGGCATCCTCCTGCAGAGCTCCGCCTGCCCCCTTTCTGGCCTTCGCATCTCCCTGTCAATCAGCACTCAGCTGACTCAGTGGGCCTCCAAAGGACAGCTCTTTACAAGCTGTTACCTCGCCTCCCTGCAAGCTAAGCATTATCAAGCTCATTTAACTGCTGAGAAAAGTGAGCTTCAGAGAGATGTAGCAATTTGTGAAAACAGGTGAGACAGGCAGTTATGTCACGTTTAAGGAGAGAAAGCTAAGGCTGAGAAAAGTTAAACGACACAGCCTGTGGTGGCCACAGAGTTCCACTCAATGGTCCCTTCAAGAGAACCTGCTATGGGGGCACAGTGGGTGGCGGCCCCCAGCTGTCACACCCTTGTTTCTGCAGTGGCACACGGGTGACTTCTAGCCAAGGACCGAGCTCAGCAGCAGAACTGGAGCTGGGCCACCCACACCTAACCCTGGACTCTTCCAGGGGGGACTCTGTCTTCAGGTGCCCCCCGCCCCCTGCCAACTCACCTGCTGGACCTTCTCAGAGTTACCCTGGAGTCTGAGGCTCTTCCTACCAGCTCCCCCTGCCTCCCATCTCCTTTCATCAGGGGCAGACCCTGTCTCAGCTTCAGGCTCTCCCTGCCAGCTCCTGCTCCCTCGCCCTGCATCTCACAGCAACAATAAAACTCTTGCACATCTAATTCCAACTTGACACCTGCATCCCTAAGAAACTGAACTGGTATTTGGCCTGAGGTCATACAGCCAACAAGTGGCTAAAGGGGGACTAAAAGCCAGGTCCTCAAACCAGGCTTTTTTGACGCCTGGGAAATTCTGCTTTTCTAAGTAGGTCACAAAAGAATTTTTGGCACCTTTTAATTTATGTCTCCTTCAAATCACATGAAAATGACACACCTTGTTTAACTACTTTTTTCTAACATAATTAATGTCTCTGCTCATTCCCTCCTCCCCATGAGGGGGGACTTGTTAGCAAAATGCTGTTAACAAAAATTCTAAAAGTATTCTCTGAAAATGATCTATCTGGCATTGAATCTACCTACAAGATTATTTTCTTCTGACTACAGAATACAGTAGAAGAAAGGTTATTTATCATAGAAATAAACAGCAGCTTTACAAGGATGTATCAGGCTTATTTTTGGAACACCGTCAGTTCTAAATCAGAGCTGAGCTGATTGTTCCAGCCTCTCAGCAGCCCACGGCCCGGGTGCCTTCCTGCTGTCGGCAAGGAGCCACTGGGGAAGTCATGCTCTGTGGCCTGTGCAGGTCAGCATGGCTTTTAGTAAAAGTGGTAGTGCCACCTGCGTTAGTGACAGGTGCATGGTGTAACACCAGCCAGCCTGCCCTGGGGTGGAGCAGGACAGGCAGGTTCTAAGTTGGGGTGGGGGCAGGGAGAGTAAACATTACCTGGGTCTCAGCAACTCCTGGGGAAGTGTGAATAGCATGTGGCTGGTGGGACTGTCGCCAAACCTAAGAGCCCCGTGACTGGCCTGGACCCAGGGAGATGGTGGGCAAGACTGAGCACCCGGCCACACCTCCACACTCCTTCGGGAGGCCGCTGGTGTGTCTTGCAATGGCTGTGTGGGAGAGAAGCACAAAATTAGGACCACTAATTATAGGGGAAAGAGTGAAGAATGCTTATCTTGCTAAGCATCTTGCTCAATTTTCACTTTTGATCCTAAGAGAGGAATTCAGTCAGATGAATTCATCCTTGGGGAGGATGCGTGTTATTCATATGTCACGCTTATCTAGTCTCTTTCATGACAGCTGCTGCACCAGAGACCAGTGGCTGTCCAGGGCCCCTCCCACGACAGGGCTACGGAAGAAGCTGTGTCCCTGCAGAGAGCCAGTACTGGCCAGCAGCACCAAGGCCCACACGTGCAGATGGTGTGACTCGGAGCCACCGACCTGCCACCTCCCCTCGGAGCCATTCCCTTGGGCTTTTGCAGCCGGGCAATGCAAGGACCTAGAGAGTAGGAAACAGAAGTGGGGTGGTGGACCTCGGCCTGTCCCCACTTCCATCAGGGTTAGCCCATGCACAGAAGTCTGCTCTGAGTTTTGAATAGGACTGAGTTTTAATGCAGAAAAAAACCCATAATAAATACCAAGTATGACTAAAAAATTGTTGTTAGAAGGTGAGATTCCCTAGGCCTTCCCTGCTTTTTTTCTGTTGCAGAGCCTGGATTTTAAGGGTAAGTCCAAGCCTCTCCCATGGGGCTCAGGGCTAACCTGGGATTCTGTGCCTCAAAGCAAAGGGCGGGATTCGCTGTACTAGGGATTGGATCAGGAGCGAACATGTGAGCCCCTCCTGGCCAATGAATCTTGAGAATCAGGGGCAGGACCTCTGAGGCTCCTTTTCCTACTAAGCTGCTGGGCAGTGTGGGTGAGGCTACAAGCCTGGAAGCACTCAGATGGGAGCTCAGACGCCTACAGGAAGCAGAGCCCAGTCCTGATGAGTCCCACCTATTCCCAACTGTCTATTTTGGGACACTATCAATCCTCTTATCGTCGAAGCCATTTTGCAGTGGTTTTCTGGAGCTAGCAGCTAAAGGCTTCCCAACAAATCCAAATTCCTTCAAGATCAGGTTTCCCTCCCCAGCCCGATTAATGGATAGGGTGCTCTGAATACAAACATGACAGCAGTTATTTAAAACATTCCAGGTTTACACATTGTTGAGTGGAGATGTTCAACTACACCCACCAGAAAGCTAAATGGACTGCATAGAACCCAGCCGAACCTGGACCCTACTGGAGCTTCCTGCCTGGGGCTCAGAGCGCTGGGGCCTCCCTGTCCCCTGAAAGATTCCTCTCTCTGTGTCAGTAGCAGTAAATCAAGAAGAACAGTGTTCACAGCTGCCCTTTGCCACCAACTTTTCCTTAGTTTTCTTAGCGGCACTCATGTCTTCCAAAGCAGCGGGGCCCCATGCCCGGTCACCACGGACACCCGCCTACCTTGCCTCTTCCATGCATTTAGTTCCCATGTCCTGCTCTTCATCTCTATGATGTGTTTTGTTTCCACTCCCCCTGATTCTCTTGCCTGGATCTTTGCCGTAGCTCCCACTTCACTCCTGTCTCTAGATCTGTTCTATACCACCCATCCCACAGGCTGCTCCCAGCTTATTCATCTTTAAATATGACTTATTTAAATATGAGCCCCTCTCAATGGCTTCATGTTGACTATAGAAAAATGTCCAAATCCTGCCAAGCTATCCTGATCAGGCTCCTGGGATTCTGAGCTTACCTCCCCCAGTCTCCTGTTTCCACCAAATTTCCCCTGTTCACTGAGCTTTCCAAGCCTGCAGAGGCCATGAGATATGGCCTGAAGAGTATATTCTTCGGGATTCTACAGCCCTAAGTTTGAATTCTGATTCTACCATTTACTGACTGGCACTCTCAGACAAGTTTTTTTTTTTTAACTTCTCTGAGACTCTGTTTCCTGCATTGTAAAGTCGCTGTTTTATTCTGCTCTCAGAGGGGTGTGGTGAGAACTGAAAGTGACAGTGAAAAGACCTGTGAAGGTCTGGGAGAAGCAGGTAAAGTGTGCTGCACTTGTGAGATCCACGCACATGGTGCCTCCCGGCTTTGGGCTTCTGCTCCTGTGGCAGCGACATTCCCTTGTCTAAATGCGGCCCATACTCCAGACCCAGTCAGTGTTCCACTCCTCTGGAAGCCCTCCTGATCCCTGAGTATGTTCACTCCTTTTCACTGGGGTCACGAGTGTGCAAAAGAACAAGAGGTGATATTTATTCCATGCTTACCATGTACCAGGCACTTTTCTATGTGTTTTGTGTTTATTACTTCATTTAACACTCATAGCAACACCATGAGATTTGAATATTATACCACCTCATTTACACTGCAGTCATAATGGACCCACAGGGAGGTTAAATCATCATGCAAGTTCACATACCTAGTAAATGGTAAGGCCCAATGTAAACCCAAGAAGTCTGACCTTCGAAGTCCAGTACTTAACCACAAAGCTTTGCTGCCTTCCCTCTGCAACTGGGCTTTAAGAGGCAGACTTAATGTCTTATTCTATCTCATCGGGGGGCTTGCCCAGACAGGGGGAAAAGCAAATACAGTGTCTTCCCTGGTGTCTCCCATGGCAGCAGTCCAGTCCCATCCTGAGGCACCTGCTGAGGCCACACAGAGACTCCTGACAGTCTCCCACCAGCTTTCTTCACCTAAGGGTCCTGCAGACACCTGTTACTCAGTGTACCACAAACTCCAGTCACTCCCTTTCCTTCCAAATACATGTCCTCCTATCTCCATGAATGGCATCTCCATCCATCCAATAACTCAGACTAGATGCCTCAGAATTATATTAACTCCTGCCACCCCCTCACTACCCACATTCAATTATTATCTTTGTCTTGTAGATTCTATCTTCTAAATTGCTTTGAATCCACTTTCTTCTCTCCATCTCCACCATCACTGTGCTAATTTAGTCGCTTAGTAACTTTCAGCTTTATAATGAAAAAATGAATATATGATTTCATTCCTGATGGGCCAGTTCTAAAGATGTTCAGAATGACAATCTTTTATGAAGTATATTTCTTCTTAGTAGTATAAAACAATTCTTACTATGTGCTATCTATTCAACTTCCCCAAATGACTGTGCAGCAGGGAAATATTGGCAGACAAGAAGCAGTGGTTGATGTAAAGTGTATAGTGTGTTTAACAGATGCCTATTGCTCTTAAGAGCTCCTGGACTCTGGGTCAGGCTACCTGGGTTAAATTCCAACTCTATCTTCCATCTGGGCCAGCTTGGGGAAATTGCTCAGTTTTTTAAACCAGTACTGTAAGATGTGACTCTGGCGTAAGATGAGGCTAGTAATACTACCTCTCACACAAGGTTACCTGCAGATTTAGTAAGAAAATCCACTTAAAGAGCTCAGCGCAATGCCTGGCACATCGGAGGTGCTCAGTGTTATCCATTAATCATATTAACTGTAACCTCAGACGGGGGGAGGTCACACTGTTGACCTCAGGCTTAGCACTTTAAGTCCAGACCCTGTGTCCAATTCATTAGGATGCTTCCACTGCTCCCAACAAGGAACTCCATTTCCCTTCAGCCTCTCTTAGCGGTGCACATTACAATCACCCAGGAGCTTTATAAAGTCCTGCCACTTGGACCCAGATCAAGTGCATGATTGAATGAAATGGGATGCAACCAGAGTGTGGGGATCTTAAAAGATCTCCAGGTGTTCTATGTGCTGTCAAGGTCAAGCCACACTGGTTTCATCAAGGCCTGGAGGGGGCAGGGCAGAGAGGTGTCTGTCTGTGGGAAGGGAAGGGACATGGCCCCTATATTCTAGAGGAAATCACTGTGCCGCAGCAGAAGAGTCAAAAGAGCAAGACATCAGATCCAGCAATTGAGAAATCAAAATTAGGGTTCTATTTGTTCTTTGCAGAATTTGCAAAATTTTCATCAAGATAAAAAATAAAAGCTAAATAGAAAACTGCTTTGACGTGTTGGTGAAAACCCAGCAGTCCCCTTTCCTGGAGGAACTGACCACCCTGCCTCCAGGCAATCCCCTCCCCTCCTGCCCCTCCGCCAACATCTCCCCAGGCAGGATTCTCCTGGGAGACTCCTCTGGCGAGAAGCCAAACCCTGTGTGAAGTATACTTACCTGGTTGATGTTGAGAGTCTTGGCCTTGTTAAACCTTGTAGAACCTTTAAGCAACATTAGAAAGGGTTGTTTGCTTAAACTGCAGCCTCCTAGGGTCACATCTCTCTTGGTAGATTTATTGGCCAAATCCAGGACTGTGGAACTCTGTGGCAGCCTGGAACAAGGGCAGAAAAGAAGCACTGCTGAACTCTGACGTGCCGGGGCAGGCACACCGGCAGGGAGCTTGTTTCTTAGCGCCATGGTTTCTGGGTGAGCGTTCATCTACCTGTACATCTGGAGACACCAGGCTCACTGAGGATGAGGTGCTGTCACCCTCCTCTGCATCCCTGAGTACCCAGCAAAAGGGCCTGAGAAAAACCTTTATTGACGTGAATGGCCAGGACTGCAGTAAAGCCAGAAAACTATCACTCTCTCTTTGGAATGGGTGTCATACGAAAATGCAATATGCAGAGAGGAGAAGCATGGGCACCAAGGACCCAGAATGATGGTGAGCATCAGGAAAACTCAGACATGAATTTATGGAACAATTTATCTTGCTGCATTTGAGTAGGAAAGTCTCACAGTAACTCTGCTTTATCTCAAGATTGTTATTTGAATCTTGATGGACAAGAAGAGCCCATAAGCTCCTGACAGTCTGACTGAGTTTCACGACCAGTCCTGGTCCTCCCTCTGCCCAGGGTTTTGTCACTTATCTAAAAATGGTCATTTTGTATCAACAGAAAAGAACATTTAAACATTTGCATGTCAACACCAGGCTCTACCCTATGAAAGGTCATGTCCAAGGCTGTGGTGGTTTGGTTTCCTAGCAGTGCACCAGTCTCTGCAATTCCTTTGCCTTGAAAACTGGAGAGAGCAGATTAAATCTCATTAAAATGAAATAAAATTTCAGTACATACATTTTTCAGGGCCATAAACTGAAAGTTAACTTTAAGTAGGCCTCTTCCAAGGTTATGTGCCAAATCTGCTCCTACATAGTGAGGCTGGGTGCAGTTTTTCTGTTGGCTTGTTTTTAATTTGCGTCTTGTGGCAAAGGCAGTGTTTGGAAAGTTTGTGGTATGAGAGCCTCATGCGCATAAATTTGACTCCGCTGGATGACCAATGAGAGACCCTTCCCCTGGCAGCCATACCCACAGACACAGGCACCCACCTCTGGACAAAGACATTGCTGATACAACCCTCAAAATGACCCCCGCCCAGACGCAGGGACTGCTGGTAATCTGAAAAGTCTTGTAGCCCTTGACTGTTCATCACAGGCTGGTCATCAATGAGAAGCTGGAGTCTGAAAGAGGATGCAGATAAAACAAGAGTGAGAAGTGCTGGCGAAATAGGTTCTCATCAAAGGGTCAAGTGACTGTCTTCCATTCAGACTCAGTATCTTCTACCTAACATACCTCGTCTCATCTGCCTTAGTTTTAAAGCATTTAATTTTTTTATGTATTTCTTTTTGCACATATTTTGCACATAATTGAAGGATGCTATCTGTACAGAAAGTCCATGTCTTAAGTGTAGCTTAATGAATTTTGCAACACGAACACACCAAGATTACCAGCGAGCAGATGAAGCAGCAGAACCCACCAGCACCCTGTAACTCTACCTGGCACTCCCTTTCCAGCTCTTTCCTCTCCTTTCCCAAGGGCAACCACAGCCTGAATTCTGACAGATTAATTTTGCCTGCTTTTGAATTTTGTAAAAATGAAATCATGGGAGATAAACTCTTTCATGTGTCACCTTTCACTCGGCATTATGTTGTGAGGTTCATCCACCTCTCATTGTGTCTAGTTAACTTTCATTACCATTGCTCCCACTTCATTCCCCCATTTTGAATATACCACAGTTTATTTATCCATCCAAATGCTGGTTGATTGATTTTTTTTAAATGAGGAAATGGATACAGAAAAAGGAAGACAGCCAACAATTCCTAGTAAAATAGTGTAAGCATCCAGGACAAACGTGTCACAGAAAAGATACTAGCAATCCATTAAACTAAATAAAGTAAAATTCTTTGACCTCTGGTAGAAGTGTCATTCCACTTACCCAGAGTGGTCGCTTATGATGGATACATAGTGCACTAAACCGTCCATGTATGTCTGTGGAGATTCAAAAGCTGGGCTGCTGCTATCCCTGGTACTCAGTTCAATGTGACCATCTTCCAGGGTGACCTGCAGTCTACTTGTCTGAAATCATCATAGAATATACCCATCAGTGCAACTCATTTGCATTTAAGCATCATGAATGTATCAATATTAAATTTACAATCAAAACTATGTATAAAACAGGATTTTTTAACCTAAATGTTTTGACTTTGCTATTTCGATCTGAAGGTTATTTTTGAATATTTTGACTCCCTGTTTTTAAGTATAAAAATTTTATGCTGATGACTTTGTTAAAAGCATTTTATGGACCTATGTTCATAATTTAACTTCTTTATTGATTATGCAAACCAGTTAAACCATTTCTAAATATTTTGATTTTCACTTCCATTCTGCTAAAGTTATTTGCATTAGGATCAATTCTTTCTGAATAAATTTTACAACAAAGACTTGCTTCATCTATTTTTTTCCATCTGTGATTATAACAATGGTAACTTCTCTTCGATCACTATGAACTTTTTATTTTCCATTCATAATTTCTATGAAGTTCAACTTTCCAATGCCAACTCTGCAGATCTAACTTTTGGCAGGATGACTGGATACCTTATGTCAATTTTTTAAAAAATATGAGTATTGTTAGCAGTTGCCATTTTAATTTGTTGACTTTTTTCTACCAAGTACAGATTTTGTAGTTTTCATCAAGATGCAATTCAGTGATCTTTTAGTCTAAAACAAGTTTTACAGAATGTGACTGCAGCCATCTTATTAGTTTTATTTTAATTTTTGCCAGTTGGCAATATTCATTATGAATTGCATAAAGGAATATTAATTCATAGGTATTTCTTAGCTACCCCATTACAAAGTGCAGGCCAATGATCCTAGGATATTTGTAGGCTTCTGCCATTGTCCAGGATTGAGCTCATCTTTTGCTAAGCCAACTCTTCCATCTACTTTCAACTGTTCTGTGTGAAATGTCCCTGCCCTTGGCCGAGGATATAAGTGTGGAGTGTCAAAAAAGCCTAGTTTGAGGGAAAAGGCCCTCTCACAACCAAATGCTGGCATGGGTTCCTTTAGTGGTAGTTAAAAAAAAGAAGTTCTCTAAGGGTTGATGAGAAAAGATATGAAGAAAGAACAGGCCTTCTAGAATGACACAGCCACAGAGTCAGCCCCCATCCCTCCCTTCAGCAAATACTAGATGTCTGTTGTGCTGGCAATCCTGAAGAAACATATCCCAAAATGACATATTCTACTTTTACTTCTACTTTCAAATCCCACTCATTCCACAGAGGATTTCTAAGTATTAGCTGACGTCCATGCCTACATAACCACACTGGCT